GAATGTTTGCTTAAAGCTAACTTGATGACTCTTTACGAACGTAGAACTGTCCATTGCAAGCGACTTTTTTCGAAGATGTTGGAACCCACTCATAAACTGAATGCCTTAGTACCGCCTAAAAGTCTTCAAACTTATAATCTGAGGTCTTATCCCAACTTATTAGTACCTAGGTGTAGAACTGAACGTTTTTCGAACAGTTTCATTCCTGCTGCGTCTCGTGCTTATAATAATAAGTAAACTTTAGATTATTATCTTTATTTTTATCTAACTTACCTATTTTTACCTGTAAATATAGAATAGATTAAATACCTATGTTCTTATACCCTGTAATTCCAAAGTAATTCAGTTGTTACTGCTAGTTTGGAAATTTATAACAATAATAATAATAATATAATTAAATATTATTATATAATATTATAATTTGGGGCTTCGGTGGCCAAGTGGTTAGCACACTTGCCTTTCACCTCTGAGGCCGCAGGTTCAAGCCTCAGTGAGAACTTTCTCAATGCGACTCGAACCCAGTCCTCATGTGAAAATAGTAAAAGTCAACGCTTTGTCGAAAGTCGTGGGTTTTCCCCGGGTACTCCGGTTTCCTCCCACAGGAAAAGTTGACAGGGTGGGTTAGGTAAAAAAGCCCCGCAGTAATTGGCATATGCTGTTGTGGTGACCCTACCCCAGTTGGCAAAGCTAAATAAATAAATAAATAAATAAATAAATATTTTATACTTATACTGTAAATTTTTAGTATCTTCCAGCTTGCGCCTGTGTTCCAGTGATTAAGGTTGTATCTTAGTAGTTACGAAATAAAATTTGATGTTTCCATAATAATAATTATAATAATAATAATAATAACAATAATAAAAGCATTTATTTGAACATGCACGATGGTGAATCAAAAGGCATATCTACACGATACGATTTGTCGTATACGACCCTCGTGACCCTGTCGTATATGATCGAATAAACACGCGTAAAAATGTGCAGTGAGATTTAAAGTTTCACCATCACAGCGAATAAGCAAAAATGTGGCATCAGCACTCGTTTTAATACGTCACAATGACAATCGTATGCGACAAATTGACAATCTAATTTCAGGTGGCAGATTATTCCTAAGTTGCTGCAGCGTGGGCCGTCGAGGAGCGGAAGTAAAAACCGCTTACAGACTTGCCTGCCATGCGAGGTTGACACTTGTATTGCTTTACATGGTAATTACGGTTGTATAACCTGTATGGTCAAACTATGTTACATATAATCCGTTCAGGTTGTACAACTCATGTAAAAGAGAGTGAGAGAAAACTACAGCGTAGTTTAGTAGTTTTTACAAAAATGTATTTTTTAAACATATGCATGAACTTATTTATATCACTAAGCTTTGTCGACGATTGTAGTAACCATGCAGTGGCGTTTCACAGTGCTCAAAGCAGTCAAAGGCAGTTATAGCCTAACCTCGTCCTTTTATAGGTGAACGAAAATCTTCTCCTAAAACTCTGAATTTGATCTTCTGCAATCGACTCTTGAAAGGATTTGGATTTTCTACGAGAAATTTTTTGCGCCTCGTTCTGTTTGCGCTTTTAATGAAGAGCTAAGGTCAGATTGAAGAGCTGCTGTAATGTCGACGGCTCCTTTTTGCACTTTTCTTTCGTTTTCCAAGTTTTTTTCTTAGTTCACAAAGGTAGTTGCAGAGAACTCCGACTTCATCAGCGACGGCAATGGCGTCACAGCACATTCCCAATGCATTTATAGACCAGGGGCAGGTTGTATAAAAAGTGATTAAAGTGAACTATAGTTAGTGAAAACGTCATCCAATAAGATCCATAGCGACTTTTAACTGTGCGTAAACGATCATCATCTGAAGCCTCTTTGGTGATGAAATTATAATATAATTATAATAATTATAATAATAATAATTATAATAATTATAAGTATTATTATTATTATTATTATTATTATTATTATTATTATCCATCAGCTCTTTAGGTATTTTTGCAGAAGAATGTTATACATTTTTAGACATGTTAGATAGTATTGGTCTTGACAAAAACCACCAAATGTACTGCGTTAGGAAAATGATGACTATTGCTATTAGAACTACATATTACATTTTGTGTTGCCGAAATAAGGAATGGGAAAATCCGGATTTACTAACAATTTGACTTATCTCATTGTATATATATATATATTGCATGCACTTTGTTCTGTTATTTTAGTTTAGTATAATTGTGATTCAAATAGCCAACCGTAAGTTACCTTTATGAGAGAGATTTACGATTGTATATGTTTGTAAAGAAAAACATTTAATAAAGTTTCCATTATTATTAGATCTGCTTCTTTCGATTTCAAATGATTGTCTGTACATACTCGAACTCTCTGTCGGATATGAATCCAATCTCCAAAACAACGTCGATCGCAAAAGGGAAAGATACAAGGATCTAATTACGCAGCAGAAAGACCATTTCAAAACTGTCAAATTTATTAATTTGTCTATTAGTGCCTTATGAGTTTTCTCAAAAGAATGTGGCACGTTTATGAAAATGTTGAACGAAGTT